TATGCAGTTTGTATTAATTATTTGTGTGTAATAGAAAAACTGCTGCAGAACTGAACAAACTGTATTGCTTATCCACATTAGGGCTGCTATATTTCAACTCCAGTCCAAATTTCTGCCATGTTTTATTGCCTTTATTGAAGAAACAAGTACAGGTGATCTAGAAAGAAAAGGCAAACCTTTGCAGACCCCCTCAGCATTACTGAATATAGAGTCATATGCTCCTCTGAATTTTATCAGAAACAAATGAAAAGAAACAAATACCATTCTAATACAGAAGTATTTTAGCCTGTATGAGGATTGTGAAAGATATAATACTGTCCTGTCAGCTAAAGAAGGGGGAAAAGAAGCCAACTGGCTCTTAAAAATATTTGTTTAAATAATAAATAAATAAATAAATAAACATTTCATCATCATCTTTCTTTTTTTTATATATAATTCAGTCTGTCCTTTGTTTTAGGCTTAAAATATTATTCATTTAGAAAAATGATATTTGGCAGCATTTGTTTAATATGTTAAAAAAATTACTAAAAAAAAAAGTCCCTTTCGTCTCTAGTGAGACGATTATGTTAGCGAGACTATTGCTGTGTGCATGTGTAATTCACTGTGGCTGTTCTGTTTGGTTTTTGTTTTTTTGATTTTTTTTTTCTCTGTTGCATTTAGGTTATCTGGTTTCAGATACAATCTATTAAGTGGCATATTTTTCAGTAGTTGAGGTTTTCCCACCTGTCTACCCTAAAACACCTGCAACATATGTTTGTGTAACCCTGCAAAGCTTTGTGTTTTGGGCCTCGAGAAATTCCCCCAGAGCTTTTTGCTTATAAACAGCTGAGCAATTCATTTCTCTAATGACGAGTGCTTTTCCCTTGGCATTGAGGCAATAGCATGTTCACTAAAATAAGTCTCATTTTTCATCAGACATACTGAAAATCTTTTCTCATTGTTGTCTCTTATTCTGAACCTTCAGATTTTGTGCAAAATTAGATTAATCTTTTTTCTGTTAATATGCAAAAAAGGGGGGAAACACCGAGACAAAGAAGAAAAGAGTGTTGTGTAGGTTCCTCTGCTAGCACCTGCATGGAAACTTTTGCAAATAATGTGTATTCAAACTGTTAAACATTACGTTACAGCAGCAGCGTGTTTTTCCTGATAGGCTGCAGAGCAATCTGCCTGTGACTTGTGTCCCACAAGCATGTATCGCTGTATCATAGCAGCTCCGTCGGTAATCTTATGCGGGATGTCTCTGGAGGCTGGGGAGGGAAGGGTTTATACTGAAGAACTTAAGTGTATGGAGCACAGTCCTTAGCTGGTGGGAATTTTAAGTGTTTTTCAGCAATTTGTGTAAGTTTAGGGAATTCCTGCTACACGTGATGTGATTCTGACCCCATCCTCAGTCCCATCACCTGGGAAAAGAGCAGGTAACGTGTAACTGAGCTCCAGCCCTTTTCCAATAAATCAAAGTAGAAGGTCACCAAGAACCCCCTACCAGCCCTGAGATTCAGAGTGAGTGTATCGGGTGGTGACTTAGAGTAGAAGAGGGGGCTCAGACTTCATGGATGTTTTGAACAGTGCAATCAACCTGCAAATGAGGTAGTAATGGGCTTCTGTCTTCTAAAATTAGAAAGGGATTAAAATCAGAAGTACCTAAGAGATATCTGAAACAAATTAAGATACATCCTCTGTGGCTAATCCGTACGAGACATACACATTTTAAAAATAAATAAATAAAATATTTTTAAAAGTCCAAAATCACACCTGTGTCTACATGTGCTTCTATAGCTGTGTTTAGTGCGTTATCCTTCTGAAAGCCTAAATTTGGCAGTTTTCACCAGTTTGAGCACACTTCAGGAAGAAATGTAAGAATAGAAGAATTGGAAAACCAGGAGACTGCTGCTAAAAATGAGTGTGGGGAAGAAGGATTTGTAGTATTGGCACAGGCAGCTTTAGGATTTTTGCACTCCGTTTCCTTAGAAGGGAAAACAACGTAAATGTGTTAATCTGTTTAATGCCCTACACAATGTATTAAGGAGATTCAGCAAATTACTATTTTGAAGGGTTAATTTTACTGTCATTTTAACAAGATTTTCCACTTAAGAAAAAAATTTCATCTGAAGTACTAGTCAAAATACTTACATAATTTGAAGGAAAAAAAAAAAAAAAAAGGAAAAACTTTGCTAGTCTAAGTAAATAAAAATATAAAAAGGACCATTCTAAATTGCACTGTTTCAGAAAAAAATGTGGCTATTGTGAATATTTTAGACAACAAAGCTATATTTTCATGTAAATAAATTTGTTTAGTCTTCTGTTCTAATACATGGCATGTACCATAGAGGATGGATTAAACTGCATGCTTAGACAGGGGAATTAATTCAAAATACATACGGAGATGTAACTGTAGGTTTTCCTTTCTGCTTCCTATATATAAATTACAAAAATAGTTATAATCAATAAAAGATTTAACTAACGTTATCACAACAATATAAACTCATAGACCATACTTTTTGCTGCCTGAAGTGCTGTTTTCTAGCGGTTTTACCATTTCTGTGGTAAAGTTGCACAAATATTTTTCTGCTAACGTTTCTCAGGGGTTGTATTGTTTTGTTTTGTTTTAAGTAATGGACTTTCCTTGAAGGATGTCTTCGTAGTGTTACAAAAAGATTTGTAGCAGTAACCCTTGGTATTTACTATCTTGCATTTCTAATGTTGTTTTCCAACATTGTTTTTTTTTTTCTGAGGGCTTTTTTTTTCACTGCATGTAATACTACTTTAAACTGCTTCTTCCTTTGATACTTTCAAACCACACAGGAATTTAAATAGGCACCTGTGAAAGTAATGCTTGAGCCTCATTCATATGTTCAAGTTAGATCATTATTACTATTAATGGCTTTAAGTGCTTAGATAGCAGATCAGCCTTTCGTGCCTTGAATTGCTTGTCATTTCTGAATAAATATGTTTCAAGAATCTGTTCCACATGATCTTTTCCTTTTTCTTTTCTATTTTTTTTTACAGAAGCAAAGTGTAATAATCTTTTTTTGTTTCATTGGGAGGTGGAATAGAAATTCCATTGTTTTTGCCAAGTTTAAAATACATACAGTTAGGAAACAGATTGCAAAATAAAGTAGCAGAGTGAGTTTGTCAAAAGGGGCTGTCCCTTGAATTAAAAGTGTCAGCTACTTTGACCATCTGTAATCTCCCACCTTGTGGAAATGGACACCAAGTCAGATGAAGAAGAAAGTTATTTAAGTGATGGGAGAAAAGTTACACTGTTTGCTTGCAGAGTAGTCGCAGAACCATCAGTTATCCTCATCACGTCAGTTTGGATTTGATTATCATAGAAATGCATTGAATTACCAAACTAGAGCAATAGTAACTAAAGCTGATTCATTGTTATTGCTGTCAGTTGATGAGGACTGACTTACAAGCCATATGAATGGGTAGAGTTATGCAAATATTGTTTTTATAACAAGAGAAGAAAAATGTACAGCGGCCATTACAATGTGGGTGGTAGAATAGACGAGAATTTTTTTAATGCTTGTCTAATAGCTTTTAGCTGTTGTTTCATTTTTTAATGAACATCACAAACAGGATATATTTTTAAAATGTTTAATGTGTTTCCAAAGAAAGGAAATGAGACATATCATACAAGATTAAGTCTGACTGCATAAAACGATCTGGAAATTCCCAGCTTTACATTTGACCCCAGAAATCATCCTGCCTTTGATACCTACCACCTCCTTAAGTGTTCCTCTCTCCTGTTGTACACATGCAATAGTTTGGTTGTTAAAATGCAACTCCTATGCCTCCTCCAAAAATAAAAAGGTTTTCAAGGAAAGCGGGTTATCTGCAGTTACATGGAAAATGAGTTCACTAAAACTGTATTTGCTATTAACAGGATTTCAGAAGGCAGATCAGAATATAAGGCAACAGCCTACAAATTAACCACCTTTTAAGTGAATACCTGTAAAGTATTTTGATCTGTTTTGTGCAGTGTATCTGATCATTACACTGAAATGTATCATTTTGGTTTTTCTTATGCTAGAAATGCTTTACTTTAAAACATTTCTCCTCAAATTCGTGTTTAGATATATATAAGGGGTTCTCTGTAGCTCTCTGCTATTTTAGATTAAATCATATGCACCTTTTTACTTTAAATTAAAAAAAAAAAAAAAGTTTTCAGATAGTTTTTAAATGCCCTTCGGATTTTTTTAAACATTTAAGTTTTTAATGCCCTTCAGGTTGCATCAATTCATTCAAAATTCTTTATGCACATATGTGCTCTATGCTTCGTCAATGTTCAGTGAAATATCAGCTTTCAGAAAAGATGATTTCAGAGCTATTGGAGTCAGTGGGCTTCAATACTGTCATTTTGGCAGTGGTGGAAACTAACAAATAGCTTCTGGTTTCGATATTAATTATAAAAATTTTGTTACAGAACAGTACTGTTTGTGGCTTTGGTATTGAGCAAGGGAAAATCAGACAAAAAGGCTCCGTGTGCCATCTAGTGGCTCTCGATAGCTTTCTTGGCTTAGTCCACAATTAAGTTTTGCAATATGTAAGCTGTTGTTTGTCCTCAGTACTATCATTTTCTTTAAAACCATGTCATTTTACCTTGGTGATGGGAAAATTCTGTACCAGAGCTAAAGAAGGAAATGAGATCGGTGTCTGAACTTCACCAGATTTTACTGATTTCATTAGAAGTGATCTCACAGCAAACAGCAATGCCCTCCCTGTGTGAATAAACACTGATTTCTGTAAGCATGAAGAGCTAACTGGTAACATTTGGTATTCTTTTAAAGTATTTTAAGATTGCATTTTTATGTAACTACCATTACTGCCCTCAGAAACCAGGATTGTGGGAACATAAATTATTCTTTATATTTTTAATCTTCATTAATAAACATACTTCTTGTCACTGCTTTAAATCTGTCAGAAAAATCCTGAATTCTGTACAGTGTTCTTTTTTTTTTTAAGTTAGGATAATGCTTTTTTTTTTTTTTTAACAGAAAAATCCAAGACCAGTGACTCACCAGTTCCAACAAAATTTAGATTATTACAAAGCACGTGGAGCAGACTTGATGAATAAAACCCGGTAAGCTATTTCTGAAGATGTTTTCACTGAACTAATATCTTACATAAATAAAATGTTCCATAAGTCACTTTTATCCCAAACAAGAATTACATAAGCAGTGTTAGAAGCACGTGTACTTAGTTCATGAAATTTATTTTGAATCTTTACCTTACTATTACCTGAAAAATGGAAGTTTCACAGATAGCGCTTTGGTCAGATCACTGGCTTCTTTTTCTAAGGCTAAGATGATTCATACACAGTGATGTGTATACTAAAAGCAGGGGGTAAAACATTGATGTGAGTTCTGAGGCTGAGCTACTTCCAGTAGCACATCTAGTTGCGCTACAATTGCATTACGTACCAATGTAACACAAGCTGTAGAAGTTACATTAATGCAAATACAGTTTGAAGGAATTTTTACTAAACCATTTTGCAACATTCCTTCCTCACTTTTTTTTTTTAGAAATGGCTTGTATCAATATGACTTTATCTGTGTGTAAGTAGTCTAGTGGTGGCTGTGCCCTGGCAGGATGGCTGGTGCTGATGGAAGGTGACTGTTGGTTGTCAAAAGCTGTTGTGTTTATTTAATTTTTTAAGACTTGCCCCAGATTAAAAAATAATAATAATTTGGAAATGCCAGAATAATTATTTCAAGGATTTTGTGTGGAAACAAGTCATAAAGCCCAAACAGGAATGACACCTGTTGGAAACTTAAACTCTAAGGACACAAATAGCCACTAAATCTGTCAATTCATTGCACTCGGGAGAAATTCTTTAGAATGGTTCAGATAGAGGAGTAACTCAAGAGAAATTTATCTCAACGCAGGACCATTTAGAGTAGGTCAGACATGGTAAATTTGGTTAAGATTAGAGAAGAGCTAGAGATCTAGACTAGAGAGAGATGGAGGATGTAACATCAAGAAATGTTTCTGCAGTGAGTAGAGAGATGGATTGGGCAAGCTAACAGATCATTTTCATCTGTAATTCCACAGACTCAATAATATATTTAAAATATATTTAAAACTCTCTTAACATGTATTGCTTTTATGTAAAATATCTTCACAAATCTCTGACATGTATTGCTTATTTTATCACATACAAAATTTTTTAATCTGTCATATTCATAAATTTATCTCTCATCTGTCATAATGGCTACTTACTGAAGAGAGAAATGCCTTTGCATAAGGCTTGCTTAAAACAAAACATTTTTATCTTAGCAGAAAACTGCAGAGATTGAATCATCTTCCCACTGCTAGTTTAAAAATACACCATTCATAGTCAAGGTCAATGATGCTTATTGTGATGAAACAAAATTGTTTGCTTCATAGATGGAATTCATGTCTCCTTGATATTCATATTTTTAAACTGATGCCTTGCTTTTAAATGCATCCGCTGATAACTGTACAACATAATCAATCAGCATTTTTCTTGTAATTGTTGTGTATGTCTGATACATTTAGATGGCTAAAATGTAGACATTGATCAGTGTTTAATGGCTGTAATCATCCTTTGTGTTAATATATCAGACATTTAAACAGTAAGAAATAGATACATTGTTCTTATTTTCCTGAACTCCCACTTTTTTTGTGCCTTCTCCAGAGATCTAACACCTTGCTATTGTTCATTTTCTGAAGCTGCAATACAGCGAAATCACGCAATGAATTGTACTTACAGATACTTTTGTTAAGACCGCCTCTTGACAAAAAATGTAGATAACATCATTACTTATTTTTCGCGTATGTATGTGTGTTCTGAGTTGATCATTAGTAGTCAGTTCAGAGCCAAGACTTACAGAGGTACTAGGAACTGCAATAACTATCCTTTCTAATTCTCAAATAATTATAAAACATTATTACATATTGTTGTTGAAAGCATTCAAATTCATGTTTTGAACACAATGGCTTAGAGAAGACTTTTGGTGTTTGTTGTTTCTGTTTAGTATAGTATCTCAAGAACTCTCCTTCCAACCATCCAAAAATAGAAATAATCTAACTTTTGGCCTACATATATGTCAAAGAAGCAAGTTACACAGTGTAGCAGGAAAAATGATTTATTTTATTAGGCAAACATACAGTTGAAAAAAAGCAACAAGCTGGTGGACACAAATACACAAACAGATGAAAATTAAAGTTTCCGTGATCTCAACATTATATTCAATTGTGTTAGCTTCTTTACAAAAGCTTTGTCTCAAGCATCTGTGGACCATCAGGATTCCACTGACGCAGTTAACTCAAAGCATCCAGTGGCTTTGTCACTTATGTACTCTCTGAGAAAAAGCTCTGCTTCCAGTAAATACCATTTTTTGTGCAAAATCAAGCTTTTTTTAACTTATTGTCAAGGCTCCAAACTTTGAGGCAATACAAATCTGGGACGCATTGTTCAAGCCATTATCTTCTTTGTAAGGTGGTGATTCAGGTGAGTGAGGATCCATAGCACCCTAGACATGGGGATTAGTCCTGGTGGACCAAGGAGAAAACATGCCAAATACACTAATGTTCAGGTTCTGAATCTCAACAAATTATTACTGATATGGCACTGAAATCAGTGAGGCAGATTCACTGCAGACTATTGATATCTGCTTGATATCTGCTAAGGCAGCATTTAATATTTCATCTTCCACCTTTAAAGCTACAATCTGTGTGTTCTTTATGGAATGGAAAAATCATTAAACAAAAGGCTCTGCGCTGATTCTTCTGAGGCCACATATATGGAATCAAGAAAACTTTTTTTTTTTTTTCCATTAAATGTCTCTGCATACCCTGGGGAACTGATTAATAACCAAATCTGCCAAATAGTAGCAGAGTAAAATTTAATAATAATAAATACTATATCACGTCCTCTTCTTCAAATCATTAAGACTATTTAACTTGCTTTTGAAACTGTTTGAGTCCCCTACGGGAGCATTTTATAAACCTGCAAATACTCTTTTTGTAGTTACTTTGTCTGTTACTTTGAGGTGACTATAGAAAGACTTCTTTCAATATTGGTAGCAATTAATAAAATGGGGAGATGTGGAAACATCCTGTAGTCAATATTCAGCAATCATTCTCCACACTCCTGCTCTTTCAGAAATACATGACATGCTCTCTTTCTTCATCACCAGTCTGTGGCAGGAGAGCCCTATCTCATGAGTCTGCAAGCTCACATACTTTCTTCTGCTTTCTCTCATTTTAATCTTATCTATCCTTTGTCTAAACAACTCAACTGTTGTTATTTTCTGGTTATGTTCTATACACATGTATGTGTTCATATTGTGTATTTGAAAAAATACATATATAGAGAGCCAGGAAAACTATATGAAAGCTGACATCAAAATTACTTTTTCAGGCATGTGCACAAGTTACAAGTCACCTATATTAATTTGTTTGTGATTCATTTTTTACTCCAAAACATTGTGAAACAATTTTTCCCAGTAAGATGATTGTATTGGTTTTAGTTAAATATATTTCTTCACATTTTTTAAACACAGCTATTTATATCACTGACATGTAGATCAGTAAAATAAAACATCAGGAGTGGAAAGGTCTCTGTGATTGTGATAGATTTCTGTGCAGGGTATTTCAAGCATTAATTATATAAAACAGGAAAATATTGCATGAGCAAATGAGAATGGCTTTGCTGATCTCTGGGTTACATGAACACTTACACTGCGAATTAGAAGCTGCTTTGCCTCTTTATTTTAGACAGATTAAATGGTTTGGTAATTTTCTCATTCTTAACGTTGCATGTAACTGAAGTGAATTAAATATCCACTGTAGTTAAAAATAAAAGGTAACAGTGATAAGGATCATGACCCAATATATGTGTTATATCCTGAAGCCATTCTTCAGCCAAAATCACTTTTGCAATCAGGATTCCCTTTACAAAGCACTTGGCTTGAAATGACTAGTTTGGGCAGAGGGTGAAATAAGAGCAAAAGACATGTAGCTTTGCCAACTTAAAAACAGAATCTGGTGTTAGTTTTATTTGTTAAAAGAAATGTCTGCGTGTGAGTTATTATAAACATTTAAGAGAATTTAATTTAACAGAAATAGATATTAAAGTAGTCTTGGAATAAGAAGTGCAGAAGTCAAAGTTTTCTTATGTTTCTGACACTTTTTTTCATTTAAGAAGACAATTTAAGAAAAGTGGTGCAAAATTCTTTGTTTAGGTTTAGTTTGCATTTTTCAGGAAGAAAGGACCAAAAGACTTTGACCACTACTGGTTAGGAAAAACATGCGCCATGTTATCCCTATGGTTCCTGTGTATGTTCCAGTGTGACTGTGATAAAACATGTTCTTTGTATTACTCAAGTCTTGTTGTTGGTTTTTTTTTTCCCCATTTTGAAAAACAATGCATGCATGCATTGCTGTGTCTGTCTGAACTGTTGGCAAGGGTGTGATGATTTCTTTTTTTCTCTTTCCAGCGCCAGTGCTAAGGCTGCTCCACTGAACATCAACAAAGTCTCCAACAGCTTGCTGAATTTTGGCCGAAAGCTGATTGCTCCAGCTATGGCTTCAGGTAGTGCTGTGGGCCCTCCAGCCAGTGGGGGCAGCTTTCCTGCACCTGCAGTGGCCATCCGCAGCACAGCAGAAGCCCCCCAGTACCACCACCACCACCACCAGCAGCACCACCACCACCACCAGGCGCAGCAGCAGAGAATGATGAAATCTGAAAGTATGCCAGTTCAGCTGGGAAAAGGTAACGCTGAAACACGTGACAATGCGATCACAGGAGAAAGTGTTGTCATGTGCCTCAAGGACTGAAGAAAGTCCTTTTACTGATTTTCGATCAATGGGTTCACATCTGGAGGAAACAAAAAAGGCAGGATTTTGTTAAGCAGGATGTTTGCAGTATAATGTAGAATTAGACATTAATGTCAAGAGTGCACAGATACTATAGGAAATTTTGAACCTTTGAAAAAACAGCGAGTTACACAAAACATACCAGCAAACTTCACTGTTGCCATAGGCATTATCTATCTTGCTATATGTTAATTTTGCAGTCTTTTAAATGCAATGTTTTTTTAACTGTAAGACTAATTTCATATAGGTATTTTTTCAGGTTATTGGCACAAATCCCATGCATAACAATATTAGCCAAATATGACTGCAGGATGTTAGATTAATTACGGAGTAATTCTTAATAAACAAAATCTTATTCCCTCTAGAATGTGTGGAGCTTACTTGAGAAGTTATTTGAACAATTACATGTATTTTCCTTATAGTAATTCATGATGGCCCTCTGCACTTTTTCTATTTAATAAATACTTTTCCTGGAGCCTTTTTTTTAATATTTTTGAAGGACAGTTTATTTGAACAACAAAGTCAGCGAGCTCAGTTTTGGTCTTTGCAAGGAGTATGCAGAGCAATACCATATCTGCTGCTTCTAGCAACTCTTCCTAAGTAATGGTTGAAAGTGTGAGGGCTTGGTCAAGGTGCTGGTTGCACTGAACAATTGCACTAGTATTACATAATGTTTTTCACAAGATTTGAAAGCCTAAGAGAAAGGAAATGACACTTCCATAGCTCAGATCAATGGTTCTTTCTCTTTCCCGTGGCACCTTTGCAGTCCAAAGTTAGTCCTTGCATGACACACCTCTTCCCCAGGAGATACTGAGTGAGCAGAATTCAGTGGTACTGCTGTTCTCACGAAGCAAAGAGATGCATGTAATTCTTTAAGGGTCACTACACAGCTGCTTGGCACAATCCAGATTTGTAGCTTCTCTCAGAATCCTAGAACCTCCAAAATGGCTCCAGCAAAGGTTTTACAGTCCCCAGGACTGTGCAAATGTGAAACCAAAATGCAGTAATTTCTTGCTGTACAGTGGCCTCATTTGGTTTGTATTTATAATTGTCTTTTACAGTCTTTGTGAATCCTTGATGCAAATCCTGCTTAAGTCAATGGAAGTAAAATTAGGCCTAAAAGGAAATGATTTCCACAGTTCTGGACAGGTTCTTTTATTTGCTTTTTTAAAAAAGTTCCATAGTTCCATTATCCCATGCCTGATTTTACAGCTTCTGGGTTGAAAAGTGATTTTCTTTTCCTTGTTTAATGTGAAAAAATCTGTAAGCGCCTTCTGTAGGTGGAATCTGTCGTAGCTTATCAAGGATGGCCCTGTTTATGCTCCAATATGGTAACAAATTTGAGGCGTAGTCCGGAAACACACCTGACACTTTCCATATAACAAACAGAATAAAAACTGTGGTTGGGCTTTGGTGATTGTCATGCACAAGCTGTGCACATATTTCTGCATCAACAGAATATCTATATTTGCTACAACTTTTGCAGACATAATTTAAAGGCAACAAAATATAAATATACCTTCTTTAATCAATTGAGATGACAATGAGTTTTATTTTGTGTGCTAGTGCCATGTTTGTTGTTCCAGATCTATACAGTTATCAGTATGTTGCCTATAGCTGGATCGAATTTTTGAACGATAGCAGCTAACTACTTTTGCAAACACTGTAATTTATATTTTTTAAGAGATGCCTAAATGGCACATAACGTCATCTCCACTGTGTCTTAATAGTGAGTCTTTTAAGTTCTTTGCAAGAAGACAGTATCATCACCTTAAGAAAGTGCTGGTGGGTCTGCAGTGGATGAGAGCACTTCCTGGCAGGTCTGAACAAAGTGCTTCAGGGGCTAGGGATATAGGACATAAACAGACATATCCAGAGAAACTCTTATTCCACTTATTCTGTTTGTACTGAACTCCTTAGCTTTAAGTGCCTTTTGATTTTGTGTGCTGGCTTTTACTGAACTCTGGCTTCTGCTCTAGCTTTTGGGTTTCTAAAAGCTGCTTGGTATGGTTTGTAACTATAAGGCTATTAAGTCACTGACAAGCTGTATCTAACTGTCTAATGTTCCTATTCTTCACTGTGTTTTCAGCTTTCCTTAACCTCCTGGAGCTGGGTTATTTAGCTGAGATAGACAGAGGCATGCACTTTACATTTGAGTTGATAGTCATTTGCACTTCCAATTGATCTGCTACTCACAGATGTTCAGTTGGACAATATACCCAAAGAATGAAATGCTGTACATCTGACAGGGATCAAGTCAGTAACAGAAGCTATCCATTTTTCTTATCTCATATTAGTCCTTTCAGGTTTTAAATGCTCAAGTAGTGTTGATAATTTAAATTAACATGTAGAGTGCTGTAAGTTTGAAGAGATTAAATTCAGTGCCTTTGTATGAAGTGTGAAGAAGTCATTGGTAACAAAATGTCTTGAAGGACTGGAAAAATAATCCTATCCCAGCCTTAACAGCTCTGCTTTAGCACAGTTAGCACTCGTGACACAAACCAGCAGCAGTGGCAGGTGTCACTCATGCATCCACCTCCAGGGGTGGCAATTGCTGTGCTGTGAGGGATGGTTGTTTTATATCATCAGTAGGAATTGTTTCTCTTTCCAAAGTTTTTGCACTTGCTGAATTTCCTTAAAAAATGCATAAAATTTAGAGAATGTACATGGAAAAACAGCAGGCATACTTTAAAAAAAAAAAAAACATAATTGCAAGCCTGTAATTCCAGATGAGTCTTCAACATTACAAATCACAGTTGAACAAAGTATCCAGACACCTAATTGGAAAATCAGTTCCTCCTAATAATATATTAATCCCATTCAGCCTGTCCTCGGCACAGAAGAATGGGTATCATTACTGATTACTTATGCAAGGTAGCCTGCTAATACAAAAAGGATTAAAATAGTCTTTTGATCCTTTTTGATCTTTCACAGTGAAAGAATTCATTGGCACAAATGTTACATTTAAATCTAGAGTTCATTGGATTGTCAAGTTGAGTTTGTGGTCTTGAAAGACAAAATACTGATAATGAAAAAATCTGGGAAAAAAAAAAAAAAAAAAAAAAAAAGCAGAACTGTTGCCTTTGCATTTAACCAGATTCTTGAGCATTCAGAAACTGCATAATCTTTGATTACCAAATGCCAGTGTGTTGCCAGAAAAAAAGCATTTCTCTTTCACTTCTTCCCTGATAGTGCACGATACAGTTTTCCTTCTAGGTCCTTTCTCAATGAAACCCAAAAGGATTTTTGATTTGAATGCCACTTTATCACAAGGACACATTAGAGCACCAGTTTGAAGAGGAAGTTCTGCCAAAACTCTGATCAGCTATTTAAAGTGTTTCCAGGCTTCTGTTTATTTGTATGAGTTGATGCTTCTGAGGCATTTGTTGTAGCGGGAATAGAGTTTCCACAGTCACCTAATATGCCCTAACGAAATTATCTCTGTACGTAGAATTAGTTAGGAACTATGCCTAGAATATGAGTATGCTTTTTCTGAAGGAAAAGAAGCTGTCCTTACTGACAGCAGAACTAAAAACATGTGAAAATAATAAGATACTCACTTAAAATGTTTTTATCCTTAAAGAAAAAAAAAAAAAAGTATATATTGTATATAAATATTCTTAGGTAATTATGAAATTTTCTTGACAGCATGAACGTGATACTCCCAAACTAGCAGAATGGCAGAAGTGACAGTTCAGACTGTGAACACTGCTGAAACCACTGCTTTTTTCCACGTGCATGGAAGCAGCGTGTATGTAAAAGGCCAGCTATTAAAACTTCCCATTCACCTTTGCCTCAACTCAGGGGGCTCTCTTGCAGTATATAGCCCATTCACACCGGGGTCTCGCTGCTGACCAAAGCAAGAAGTTGCAGGTCTCTATTTGGGTGAACTGCGTGTGCTCGGGAACCCTTCTAACGTGTCTGTTTGTCCACCAGGCGAGGCGGCCAGGGGCAGCGATGCCGCGCGGCCTGCTCCTGCGCAGAACCCCCCAGCCCACCCAGGTACAGTTGCCGTGACAACGGCGAGTGGTTTCGTGCCTTCAGCATCACCGTGGGGCTGCCAAGGGACCCCCGCGGGTTTTCTTCATCTGTGGCGTCTCCATTCCCCCATTCATTGCCATTGTCCATCCACCAAGCGGCACTGTTGTGTAGAAGGAAAAAAAAAAGCAGCTTTGCTTCATCCCTCCCTGACTCTGCTGTGTATGGCTCTGCGGTCGCATTCCCATACGCCAGCATCTGTCCTCGTTGAAAGTCTGCACTTGCCTTGTAGTTTTTAGTCCATTTCACACTTCAACGTGTGGGGCGATTTGACCATCAACCTCCCGTTTAGTCACATAACTTCCCTGTTGTTGTGTTTGCGGCAGGTATTTTGATTCAGGACGTCAGCATTAATGCTTTTAATTAAAGAGAAGCTTGCCTGCCTCGCTCTGCAATAAGCATACACATTTGTGTGATGAGTTGGTTCGCATAAATTTCAGAAGTGCTGGAAGCCTTTGTTCCCATTTCATTGTAGGGGGAAAAAAAGGAATCTAATTTATCTGAAGTTTAAAAGTTCTATAAAACTCATGTCATTCTTTTTGCAGATTTTAATACTCTACATCCTGACTATGGCAAATAGAGAGTAATAGATGAGAGATCTGAATGGTTTTGAATTATAGATTGTGCCTTGCTTCTGTTCTCTTTGGTATCTTTGTCCTTCACTCTCCTTGTAACTGTGATAGCTATTCTTTCCTCTGTAAGGGCCAAATAGAGAGTGAGCCATTGGTTTTGTATGCCATCTGTGCATGTCTCCTTTGATTTTTCCTATATTCTCCTATAGTTATGGAGGTAGAGCCCTCCAGAGATCATGGTTATCTCCCTTACAACTAAACTCAAACTTTGTAAGACTTGCAATTC